GACGTATTCCTGATAATTTTATGTTTTTATCATTATGCAATGATGCTGTGATGATATTCTTTTTTTTTAGGTCTGCTTTGTCTGATAAGAAATAAATGTCAACTTTGCTATGCTTAGTGTGTGGATGGTGCACTTTTTCCCATTGCAATCTTTTAATCTTGCTCATTTATATGAAATTAGTTTTATTGAACTTTTTTACAAGGAAGTAGTGAATTAGAACAGCTTTTCTTGCTTTCCTGCTTGGTAGCTTCCTCTCTTGCTGCTTATGCACAATGATTTAAAAAATAACCTCATAGTGTCTACATTTTTCTCCTCTCCAATATTTCTGCATTTTCTATTTCCTTCATCCATGCGTTTATCCTGCACAATTTGAATTCTCCTCTCAACATTTTCTCTCAATGCAGAGTTTCGCCTTAAGAGGGGGTTTCTCTTGGTTAGTACTGAAAGTGCGTATATCCCGATTGCTCCTTAGTGCTATCAGAACTTGTTACAGATCCTTTCTTCTTTACCATGCATTCGAGTGTGTAAAACCCCTTCCACCTCCAGCAATAGTTTGCAAATTGGCCCTTACACCTTTCAGAAGTACCTGTTTATGATTCAGATGTTCTGCTGTTTTTAGGGGAGTCCCCTGTTGCTTCCCTGCCCTCCTGCACAGATGATGTTGCCCCATTGGTTTTGTGCTGTCAGTGGTTCTCTTCCCCTGTTGGCATTTTGAGGTTTGGGGGGGTGTTGGTCTCAGTGGTGATATTTTTGTTTTGGGGGGGGGTTGGTAGATATTTTTCTGTGAGCTTTGATTTCAATATTTTAGTTGCTCTCTCTATATGTGGAAATTCAGGGAAATTCCAAACAGTTCTGCTGCTGAAGTCATGTTTTCAGAATTCGGTGGCTACTCTTATAGTCATTGCGAAGCAGTATGTTTGTACTGTTTGGTGTCTGTAGTGAAAGAAGTGTGATGCTGATCTTTTACCGAAAGGACGTTTAAGACTCCAGATGAGAGGGTCCTCTGAAGTTGTCTCTTCTAGTGACTATTGCATTTTCTTGTTGTTATAACTACAGTTCTTTTCACTATGACTCTTAGTGTGCCATGGTTATTTCAAGAGAGTCTCACAGAATAGCCTGTGTAGTGAGGACATTCCCAGATAAGACATCTGTCCTCTATTAGGGATCCTGTATTGTTATATGGTGGATGGGACGCCCCTGGTTTCCGATTTAGATATAGGGGATAATTCAGAAAGAATGGAACCTCTCTTACCATCTAAATGGGTAGCTCTCATGTCAGATAAGTGAATGAGCTGCATGCTGACTAATACTGGATAGAACTATACAACTGAAAATGCCTCTGTAATACAAGGTACCTGAATAACTTGTAGAAATTACTGCCCTATCATTTCCTTGGTTTTGTTTTGTTTTTTTAAGATTTTATTGGGGAATTGAGGGGATGGGAACAGTGCTGGGGAATTGGGGGAGGGGAACAGACAAGTTGCTGTCCTTTTGTTCTTCAGTCTAGCTGTGGAGGACGTCGCTTCACTGGCCCATGTTGGTATTGTGATCCTTGTGCTCTTCCCTGGTTGGGCAGATCAGTCGCCGGCCTCTGGACAGCTGCTCACGGTGGCTCTTGGCAGCTCACGCTGACTGCTCACACCAGCTGCCAGCCACTCACAGTAGCTTACAGCAGCCTACTGCAGCTTCACTGTAGCCTACGCCATCTCTGGCAACTGACGGCAGCCCAGTTCCAGGTCGAGCTGTTGTTCACCATCTTAGCTATAGAGGGCAACATCACTGGCCCATGTGGGATTCGTACCGGCAGCCCTGCTGCTCAGAGCTTGCGCTCCCAAGCCAACTCTTAACCAATGCACCACTCAGCCGGCCCTTCTTGGTTATTTTTGAAGAGTTTACACTTCATTCTGGGAATGGGGTGGTTGAACACAGTTGGGACAGCACTCATGACCCTAGATAATTCTTTATTCTTCTGTTGCACTCTGAGGTGACACTTGTTCTTTTACCACTGTCGCTTCCAAAGTAATGGCTGTGGACATAGGTTGTCCTCATTGAGAATCATGCTATTCATCAGTTTTACACATTGACTTTAAGTCACTTGTAGGACACCAATTTGTCTCACAAATTCATAAAGTTTTGCACAAAGAGCATTTTTAGTGGTAAAGGCTTGCCCCTTATAAAGTTAATGTATATATTGCTATTTTAGTTTGTAACTTGCTAGGTGCTTTTCATTTAATCTTCATACCAACCTTGAAAAGCAGGCATAACCTCCACTTTACAGATGAAGAAACTAAAGCTGAGAAGTTGTTGCCTTCTTAAAGCTATGTGGGCAATTTATGACAAAGCCAACAGGAAATTATTGAATAATTAGAGTAACTATTACTGCTACCATTAGTCTCTATGCATGCCCATAACTCAAAAGTCACTACAGAGAACATGATAATATGCATGTCTATTAATAAATTAGCCCCCGTTGAATTAGTTACAATTTAGATAAAATTTTTAAGAAATGTATATTTATATGTATTTAATGTGCAATGTACAATATATATAATGTAAAATAGTATGCAATATAAAATAAATTTGTCTTATGTTAAAGCGTTCAACAAACACTGTGGAAATTTTTTTTCCATTGGCTGTCAAAACAATTATTTATGATACTCCAGATGACAAATGAAAAATTTGAGTCACAATGATGTTAAATGGCTTGCTCATATAACTAGGCAAAGAGTCAGGATTAGATATCCTATGTCTTCTTATTCTAAATCCTATATTCGTTCCTTTATGCCACGCTGCCTTGTGATGGAACTTCCAAAATGTTTTAAAGTGGCTGAACGAATGAACCAGCTATTACCATTTAAATACGTCTGTCCAAATAGACTGACTGGTCTGTAATAATTTTATGAAGTATTAATACCAGAGAAATAATGAAAAAGAATAAATGGGTAGTCAAAGGATTTCAGACCTAATTTCAGCCATACAGGTCATAAATAGTCTTTGGACATATAAGGAGAATGACTGGTTTTCCCAGGAGGAAAGTATGCATAAACGTTATCAGTTTTAATCAAATATGACCCCGCTATGTTTTAGACTATTTCTGCTCTCTGCCCTCTCTTCTCCTGGCAGTCTTCACATCATCAACATTCCGCAGACGCATTCTAATGTCATTCCCATAGCTCATGGCAGCCAAATTCTCACATACCATATCCACTTCACACCCTGACTCTTTCTCAGGATTAAATGACTCTACTGTGTCATTTTTCCTACTAGGCTAACTAGAGAGAAATATAATTTCTGCAAGCCACACATTTGATCAAATCAGTGCTGTTATCTCTCCCCAGAACCTAAAAGCTGGGCTCCCTGAGAATCATGCTGCTCAGAGACAGCCACAAGGCAAGAGTAAACACAGAGCTGACGAACTACACATGGGGAATCCGTAGTCAGGGGGGCTGGGAATTTTTATTTTTTGTGTGATGCTGTCTCCTTTACCTTCGGAGAAAATTCACCCTACATATCTCACTTTGTAATGCACATCTCAAAGATATTTTTCAAATTTTTTTTCATAGTAGGGATGTGAAATCAGCTATGTGACAAGCTGAATACATACGCAGGTGTGTTTTAGTGTAAATACGTGCATACACATTTTTTTTTAAAGATTTTTTTTATTGGGGAATTGGGGGGATGGGAACAGTGCTGGGGAATTGGGGGAAGGGAAACAGACAAGTTGCTGTCATTTTGTTCTTCAGTCTAGTTTTGGAGGACGTTGCTTCACTGGCCCAAGTTGGCACCATCATTGCACTCTTCCCGGGCACGGCAGATCAGTCGCCGGCTTCTGAACGGCCGCTCACGCTGGCTGCTGGCTACACACGGTAGCCCATGGCAACCCACTGCCACAGGGGCTGCAGCCTACGGTCACCAGAGACTCACGGCTGCCCAGCTCCAGGTTGAGCTGTTGTTCAGCATCTTAGCTGTGGAGGGCAGCGTCACTGCCCTCATATGTGGGCTCCGAACCGGGGCTCTCTGGTGTCCCAAACGAGTTCTTAACCATCGCACCACTCGGCCGGCCCCATATTTTTAATCCAACAGCACAACATGGCAAAATCAAGTTGCCTTAGAAATTTTCACATCAGAGTAAATCAAACTTAAGCTTTGTGGGGCAGAAATAGTGCTGGCCGTAGGCCAAAGTGGGACAAAAAGGGAGGCCAAGGGTTATTGGAATGCCACCTTTTTTTGCAGTGACTTGGCCACACTCTGCCCAGGTCCCTTCACCATGACATGATTTCAGCTTTATTGGTCTAGATCCTTTTCGGGGCATTATTCTTGGGGGGTGGGAGACTTATGTTAAGTCATAAATCTGTCATTTACTACTTGTATATTCTTTGTCAAATAATCCATTTGAAACTCTTCTAAGCTTTATGTAGTTGTAATAAGTAGCCTCTGAGTGGCACCTTCTGAAGACGGGCACTATCAGTTTGTTCTCACAGTGCTGACCACCGTATTGGTATCCGCTCAATGATGTTGCCATGATCTCTGATGGGAGACTTTGTCAACATATCCTGGAACTTTGGCTTTTTTCCCCTAGCAACATCGAAAACCAAAGAGTATATAAGCAATATAATATACATATAGAATACATATATTAGTTCGAGGGCAAATGGCTGATATTATTTATGGTATAGAAAGAAAGTACAGACCAACCACTCCCAGGATGTCCCAACTCAACTACAGGTTCATTTCTAAAATATGTTGAGCACATAGTGATTAAATTTGAAAATAGAGTTGGACCAGGAGCGTTCTCAGTATATGGAGGGTTTTATCAGCTCTTGTATGCAAACCTCTAGCATGAAACCATAGGCGAACTACTGTTGGTGCCTGAAGAGTTTGCATTCTCTTGGTAATAATAACTGCATGAATGAAATCAGCATTTGGATGGAGAATGAATATCCCATATTGGAAAGTAATCATAGCATTTATGCTCTCTTTGTGTGTGTGTGCTTTGACAGCTTTTTGGAGACGACAGCCTATTTCTTCATGAAACCAAAAATTGGAGAGAAGGAGGTGTCCCCAAATGTTTTTTTCAGTATCTGGCATGAATTCAGCTCCGACTTTAAAGACTTTTGGAAGAAAGAGAACAAACTTATTCTACAAGAGAGGTAGGTTTTTTTCATTTGCACAATGGCATTTTAAAACTGATGTTTTATTAGGTGTGACACCACTAGGATTGCCAACTTTTAGAGCCTGAATGAAAAATTTGATGGCCCTCAAGCTGGGGTATCAAGTCTAAGAGGGTGCTGAGATTTGGCACAATTTGGAGTTTGAGTAAAAGGAGTCAGTATAGAGGCTGTGATGCCACAGTGAATACCTGGGGTGATGGTTTGCCAGGACCACTGTCTGGTAAAAGAACTGTGATGAGGAAACAACACACAAGCAGACTGTGTAAGAGGAGTGGATGAACCCTGCTGAGGTGATAAACCCACTCACCTCAAAAGACCAATAGCAAAGACTCTAAAGGTAAGAAGAACCGGCTTTGTTTCATTTTTGCTCAATTCATGGGATGCTCTGAAAATTTCACTGTATAAAAATTTCTTCCAGATGTCACCAAGACATAGATAATCAATATTTTTAAAAAGAGCTTTCAAGGTTCTTGTAGAATTGTATCACATTTCCTAAAGTAAGCCTTTTCAGGAATGAAGGGAAATATCTCAAGTATATGAAATAAAGTCTCTGTCACTATGATTATGCAATTCCATAGAGGCATATTAAATACTAATTCAAGAAGAAAGCTGGTCCTCCCAACAGCATCCCCGAATAGCTGGGTCTACTAGGAGAATAAAAAAGAAACATAACCTACATTGGAAACCAACACTAATTCTGAAACCAATTACTATACTTTCCAACATCCATGCCCTAACAATGACTTTTCTTTAGATCTTTAGGAAACTTATATCCTAAGGGACTTTGTTCGTCATACCACAAAATTCCACAATTTTCTGCTTATTGTCTTCATTTTAGTCTTGCTTATACAGAACCAGGATGGTCCACCTAGTTTCCATTTGTAAGTAGATTCTGATACATCCTTAGCTCTGGTGAAATTAATTGCTGAGATTTACGGAGCACGTGTACTATTCCTCGCTGGTGTTAACTCATAGAATTACTTAGATTCCATAGCTTTACTGTAGAAGAAACTAGGCCTCAGTGAGTAGTAGACAGAGCAAGAGAGTACTTTGTGCAGAAGGAAAATATGTTAAACATCCCCTCTAAAAATAATGAGCTTATTCTACTTGGAAATGCATCATTTGAGGTTAATGGAAAAGATGATTTTCGTCAAAAGTCCATGCAGGTGAGATAGGAGAGATGATTGCTTAAAAATAAGCACACTTTAGTCATTGTTCATTTACTTCAAGCTTAGCTCTACGTTATCAACTTTATACTAAGGAAGCCTTGCTCAGTTTGGAAAATTATAGTCGAAGCTTTGTTAACTGCACCCCATTCCATGCAACTTCCCTCCATAACCCTCGCTGGATTCCCACATGCCTCTTTTCATCTCTAACCTAAACTTGTTCCCCTGTAAAATGGCCTGAAACTCAGTCACACTAAGGCACAAAGCTGAAAGATTAACACGTCACCTTCTACCGTCATTTGCCTTATATCTGGGATTAGAGTCCTAATGAGAGTGGGAGTGGTGAGATCTAGGTAACCAGATGAGACTGATGGAGATTTTGTTTTGGAGTAGCTATTCTGATCAGGTAAGTAAGTAAATTGTAGCAGAAGTCCATTGTCTGGTGATGGTGCCCCCAGAGGTCCTGGGACAAGGAAATAGGTAGAGACTCCAATCATAGCTCTCCTTGACTACCTATGCCAGTACATAAGCTGGTGAGATGCCATCTTGGAGGAAATGTTGAAATTGACTAATTCAGATGCACAGTCCACATCTGGCCTGTGCTCCATGAGATAGAGTTGTGTTTCTAAGTAACACTATCAGTAACAATCTAGTATTTATGATATTTTATGCACTTGCCATGACCAGCACTTGCTTTTCTTCACTCTCTAAGTATCTCATAAAATCAAACAGATCCTTTTTTTATACTTCATCCTGTGCTGTCATGTCCTAGAAATATACTGCGGGCTTTTTGACTCACACTTGGTGACTTTACTTTCATTTTGGCAGTGTTGTGAATTGGCAGATTACAAGTTCTATCCACTGCAGATTTCTCATTTTTCTAAATCATTTGCTTTTAATAAAAGGCTAAGGGGGAACACATGGCAGGTGAGAGAGTGTTTCTTTGCCCTTTGACTTCCGAAAGACATTATGTCTCTTAGCAAATAGGATGCTTTGAAAACCAAGACTGTTGGTCTGAATTGTTTGTAGAAAAACTCGGTCCCTCTCCTTAGTTCAGGACCAGCCACACAATTGCCAGGAAACAGTGCAAAATGAAAACGCTGGGCCCCTTGCTCAAAAATTGTTAACAATTTCAAGATGGCAGATCATTAAACCAAGTGTGAAGCCCTTCTGAGAGTGGGGCCCTGTGTGACTACACACACACACCCTCACGTGAAGCCAGTCCTGCCTTAGTGTAAGCTTTATGTCATTTTTTTCTGTTGTTAAATGGAAGGACAGGTATGTCGGGAATGCTTGGAGTGCCCTGGGACATTGATAGGAAGAAGGTGTGATCAGCGAACGGTGTGAAACCTCTGGTATAGTCACTGTCAGTGTGAATAGAATCTCAGGGAGCCATAGACGCTTAAAATGGAGTGTTGTTCCCCAATGTGATTGTTCCCTCCTCTGTATTCCTATAATATTTACTACCCGCATATTTTGTTAATAGTTAATCCCATACTGCCTAGTGATATGTCTGTTTTTATTTTATACCACAACTTATTTTTTGATGTTTGCATTTGCTCTTTATTTACCAATGTCTTCACATCCGGTATAGTTCTGACTGTACGAAGCCACCCGTGACATTCCCTTCTTAGTGTCTCCATAAATATTTGCTGATTTGACTGTTACATCATTGTGTTTGACACAGACGTGAAAATAAGAACATAGACTAGTAAAGTAATGACTGTGTTTTCTTATATAACTTAAGTTTATCATTAAGTTATCATTGGTTTATATTAAATTATCATTACCTACAATGGTATTAAAAACCCTACTTCTTAAAACCCACATATCTTAAGCAAAAAGACTTTGTTTAGGCAGTCAAACCACATAAGAACAGTGTGGAACTTGCCTGTGGATCTCCTGAATGCAGAAATTCTAACTGCGATCCACAGGGGTTAGTCAGCTATGTTTCTCTCTCTCTCTCTCTCTCTCTCTCTCTCTCTCTCTCCTCCTTCTCCTCCTCCTCCTCCTCCTCCTCCCCCTCCTCCCCCCCTTCTCTCTCTGTTCCTCTCTGCTCCCTCCCTCCTCTTAATTTCCAAGCCAGCATGATCCTTTAAGGGTGTACCCTTGGCTATCCATCACAGACATGGCTTACATTCTCACAACCCAGAAAGACAGGACGCCCTCCACCATCTAGAAAATTCCAAAGAATAACTCCAGATGAGTCATGCCCATCTTTGGATCAGCCCCAGTGGCCTGAGGTGTGGGGTACATTGGTCAGCTCAGCAGTTCGCAAACCCATTTCTGCAGCCAGACAGGACAGTCTTCATTGACAGTTCCTTTGAGGACAGTGTCATTGGAGTTAGGGAAGAGCGCTTTCCCCCAAGAAGTAAACAATAACTTATGAAGCCTTTAAAAATAACTTGTATTTTTTATTTAGCAGAATGTCTTAGCATGGTAGAAATAATCTGAATGAAGCTTTAATGGTGTGGTTGAAATTTCCCTTTCTGGTCATTTTCTCTAATTTAGAATTTATAAATTGAATAATATCTTTAAGGTTATAAATATTTTATAAATTTTATTTACCCCATTATTTCTAACTGGTGTCTGATTATAGAGTGATAGCAATGGTATATTTTCGGGCTTTGTCCTAATGACTGATGTGGTTAGTAGATATATTTCTTGAACTGGCAAATTTCTACATGTCTATCCTGAAACAGCCTGCTGTCTTCCTAATCGATGTGGTTTAGAAAACATGAGGATTTTTGAGTTCAGTCTTTCACTTACTAGCTATAGTCACAGAAAGTCATAGTTTCCTAACCTGCAAAATGAAGATCGTAATACCTACCTTGCAGTGTTATTTTTAGAGTATATGGCAGTATCTACGTGCTAGATGCTCAGTGGCTATTTCCCCATCACTTAACATACATGATATCCTGATCATGACTACCTACAAAGTGATATAACAATGATAAGATGTGCTAAGCACCTTAAGAACAAATTCTGTAAATACAGGGTATTATTGTGACTCAATTACTTTCATGGTTGGGTAAAATGTCTTGATTCTGATTCCAAGGATGAACCTTGGTTTGAAAATGTTAATTCAGCCTCTCTCTCCATATATTATTTCTATTATGCTATAGGAAGGAACTCCTGCTTTGATGCTTTAGACAACTGACCCATGGGTTTTGTTATGAGTCAGAAAACATGTGGTTGTTTTATATATATATATATATATATATATATATATATATATATATATATATATATATATATATATACAATTGTTAATAAGAAAGTCTTCTCTGAAAAGATATCTAGACATCATCACTGAGCAACACAAAACATTGAAAAATAAGTTTTAAAAAAATTTCAGCTTGACTTCATCCAGAAGATGGGGTGTGAGGGGCATAAACTAACGTTTACTCTGCCACCACGGAAGGAAATGGGCAACCCTCATCTCTTAGTTTCAGGAAGACCTCAGCATTAGCGTTACCTCACCACTCATGAGGGCCTATGGAGCTAGGACCACACGAGCTGTGTTACTTAGAGGAAAGAAATACAGATTGATTGGGAACGCATGTGCTTTCTGGTCCCGATGGAGGCATTATGGGCCTGGGAGAAAGCGGTGGCGAGCCCCAAACAGGTTTACTTCGCACTTTTGCTCTGTTGTAAGCTGAACTTGGTGCACAGGCAGAGTCTTCAGCTGTGTAACTATGCGAAGGTACTTGTGATGATTCTCTCATTCCATATTGAGTTTTTACAGGCACAGGAGACACTCAAGTCTATTTGATGAAGGTTCTGTCATCTTTGAACTTAACATTCTATTGT